AACATGCATCCTGACACGACACCAAACATGCTCTGGGAAGCACATAAATGTGTTATGAGAGAGGAGTTAATTAAAATAGCCATAGACCAAATATGCAAGATGGATATAAAGGTACAGAGACAGACTCAAGACATAACAACCCTTGAGTGGCAACACATTAGTGACAACTCAATCACGACCTACAAGAAGCGGACAGCAAAACGCATGGAGCTGACAACTACATTACAATTACATGCTAAACGCAAGCTGCGCCTGACGAAACATAAATACTACTCACAGGGAGGCAAAATAGATATCTACTAGCTCAATCTTTAAAACAAGACAGACAATTTCTGACATTAAACTTTCAGACAGCACCCAAACATGGCTAATGCCAGACTTCTTAACTGCATTACAACAATACTACACTACACTGTATAACCTATGAACCACACCCCCTCTGCCAAAAGACATTCAAGATTTCCTACAGAAAAGACTCAAAAACACAATACCATGAAACATGTTGTAATACCTTGAGTTTTATCAGACAATCAGACACATCCAGTAGGCAAAAGCCCGGGACCGGACGGTTTCACGGGTAAATACTATAAGGTCAGGTCACAGTAGCCATTTGTAGATGCTTTCAATGCCACTAAATTACCAACATCTTTTCTTCCCTCTGCATTTGAAGCGACCAAAGCATTAATACCTAAACCGTGAAAAGACCCGACGAACTGTGGTAGTTATAGACCCATCTCCCTAATCAATATTGATATCAAAATATTTACAAAAATATTGGCCACTAGGCTGAAGCCCCTACTCCCTGACCTCAAACACCCAGATCAAGCCTGCTTCATGCCAGGCAAGGAATTAAGAATAATACAAGTAAAATATGTGTGCATTGGGCACAAATAACCAGGACGCGAAGTGCCCTGTTAGCCATAGATGCCAAAAAGGTGTTTGATGGGGTAGACTGGACACTGATGGGCTTGGGCTTGGGCTTTGGGCCACGATGGCTCGCTTAGTTGGAAGCGATATATTTGTCGCCCACGGCCCGACTGCATATCAACGGCCAGCTCTCACCTCCGGTAGTTATATCTAACGGTACAAGACACGGATGCCACTTGTCACCCCTTGTCTTTATTTTGGTCCTAGAGCCATTCCTACAAGGAATCAGAGATAATCAGCAAGTTCAGGACTTCAAAATTAAAGGAGATGACTATAAAATATCTGCATTTGCAGACGATCTCCTCTTCACAATATCTGACCCGATAAATACTCTCCCACACATTCAGGACGAAATGAACAAATATAGTAAACTATCCAGTTTCCAAGCTAACCATGCTAAATGCAAATTACTTCCCTTATTCACCACCCAAGACTTAAACTCTCATTTGAGACACAAATATTAATTCATGTGGGCTACTAAATCCATCAAATACCTCGGGATACATTTACCGCATAAATGAAACCGTTTATTCGAACTAAACTTCCCCCCTTCTTAGAGGCCATATCAAAAGACCTGAAAACTTGCATAGACCTTGTTTTGGATGGTACTGCAGAATCAATATAATAAAAATGAATGTGTTACCTTGTATCCTTTATGCCCTTCAAACTATTCCCATTGCAATCCCAAAAAAAAATTCTTGACACAATCAGATCGACCTTCACGACCTTTTTGTGGGCATATTCACACCTGTGACTGGCCAGTTCACTGCTAGCCAAGTCTAGAGAGAAAGATGGAGTAGGTCTCCAAGACATACATGCTTACCATACGGCCATTCATTTGGCTACGGTTTATGAATGGACGAGAAAACAAAATGTTCAGCAATGAGTGACAATCAAATCCTCATTTCTGCATATATCTATTAGGACACTTCCATGGCACAAATCGGGCTGGAACTTTCTCAACACCAAGCATCACCCGACCATAAACACTACACTTAGAATATGGACAAACACTGCCCACGATGAGACAGTTTCAGCTTATCCGTCTCCACTTTATCCACTCACACACAAACCTCTTTTCCACATGGGAATATCTGGTAAGGCATATACACACTACCACGTAGATTCCTATTTTAAACTATGAGATGTGGTTCAAAATGGTAACATTACTGCATTGCACACCCTCAGTTCCTCCCAAACTCCTACAGGGACGCAACAATTTCAATACATACAACTCACTCATTTTATAAGCATGAAACTTTTGCCAAAAGGTGTGCGAGAACTCTCACACTTTGAACAGCTCTGATTCACTCACTCACTAAAACAGAAGCTTCTTTCCAATATGTACAGACTGGTATTAACAACACGAACAAACAAACTCCCCAAATATTCGATAAAATGGGTAGCCGAACTACAAGTCGATATTTCCCATAGAAGTATTTTCCTTAGGACACATAAAACCTCCACCTCAACTTTAGAGCAAGAAAGCAACTACAAGCGTCTGGCGATATGGCACTATACCCCAGCTAAAATTCACAAAATACACATCACAGCACAAGACACCTGTTGGAGATGTCAAATGCCAAATGCACACCCATCACACATCTGGTGGCAATGCCAGATAATATCTCAATTTTGGAAACGTACAGATCAACATAAAAACTGTATTTGTTGTTTCTCCTACCAACACCCCACCTTAAAGGACCACTCTAGGCACCCAGACCACTTCAGCTTAATGAAGTGGTCTGGGTGCCAGGTCCTTCTAGGCTTAACCCATTTTTTCATAATTATAGCAGTTTCAGAGAAACTGCTATAATTATGAATGGGTTAAGCCTTCTCTCTAGTGGCTGTCTCATTGACAGCCACTAGGCGCTGCGTGCTTCTCACTGTGATTTTCACAGTGAGAGCACAGCTCCATAGGAAAGCATTGTAAATGCTTTCCTATGCGACGGGCTGAATGCGCGCGCAGCTCTTGCCGCGCGTGCGCATTCAGCCGGCGGGGAGGATCGGAGGCGGAGAGGAGGAGGAGAGCTCTCCGCCCAGCGCTGGAAAAAGGTAAGTTTTTACCCCTTCCCCCCTTCCAGAGCCGAGTATGTTTTCCTGGCACTATAGTGGTCCTTTAAGAAAATGGAACTATCATTAATGTCCCATCTCCTCATAGCAGCCAACCAGCTATTACCAATCAAGTGGAAACAGGTAAATCCTGCATCCATTAGAGAATGGATTCAAAGAGTGGAAGGGATAAAACAAATGGATGAAATCATTTACGCCATCTCCAAAAATTACACTCAATTTACACACATCTGGGCACTCTGGAACACGTTCATGCAGGAAGATGAAAACAACACTTAAAGGGTAGTATGCATCACTAACTGCCAGTTGAAACCAGACATACAGGTGCTAAGGTGGAAACTCTTTGACAAGGTGTGTGTGTGTCCCACCCTTAGAGGCGCTGGGAGAGAGGCTCTACAAATTTGTCAAACATCGCCTTTTGGCTAAGGAAATGCATCCCACAAGACACAAACAAAGACCAAGGTGTCTATGGCACATACACAATCACATTATTTAATATTCAACAAATAAGGCTAAAAAGAATGAAACAATTGTTAAAGTTCATGGTTTAGTTTATCTTATCATACTTTATCCTAGATTACTTATAACAATACTGAATAGTTCATGGAAACTGTTAACTTATACATAATGTAAGAGAGTTATTATCTGATAATAAAGATGAATAATAACAATGGTTACATGAAACCATCAAAGGATCAAAGAAAGATTTGCATATTGTAATAAGTACTGTACACTTATAGCTACACAACAAAAGAAAATTAAAAGGACAATAATGAATGTCATATCGAAATGTTTTGAATTTCTTTAACAACGCTCATTACAACTTTTGCATGTATGTTTATGCTTTCAAAAATCAAATTAAAATCATTTAAAAAACAATAAAAATAGCTACTGCACATGCCTGCCTTCTTTGAGCTGCAGGTAAGGAAGGGGTTACAAAAATAACCCTTTAAACTACACATACTTGACACCCTAATAACCCTTTTTTCCATAGCCCTACATGTAACCGCTTCCAAATTTAACCACTCAAAACCTACACCTGAAAAAAAAATACATGCAACCTAAGTTTATCTCCTCTTAAATATAATACATCTTATGTACCTTAATATTAAATTTAACCCCACTCCAGCCCTAAACCCAATAATTCACTTGTCCCTCTTCAGGACTGTTCTTATCCTCTGGAATTTCTAATGTGGTTCAATGACAATCTACTTTACATTCTATAGATTTATTTATTATATATATGAAAGTCCACTTATACAAAGATGAATGACCATTTACTTCCCTTAATTGTTGTACAGGTTCTGAGATTCCAAATTGTTCATGTGATATATCCTTAACCAACCCACCTCTTCAGAACATTTTCAAACTAAAAAAATAAGTCCCCTTACTCTCTTTCTATGTCACCTGCACAGCACCATAACACCACACTTAGACTGACAAGTACATACCTTGCTTAGTGATCAATTTGAATTTGGATATTGATTGATTGTACACTGAGCTCTATTTGGCAGAGTCTTTTTGGAAATGGTTGTAGTAAATTTTGGTACAAGAAACAAATAAAGTGCTTAATTGTGAAGATGTCTGATACCTGAAGCATTGAACAAATACAAGTCAATAAACATAGTTATACGGATAAATCAATAAACATATCAGCTAACCATTAAAAGGGAAAAAATGGTTTCTATAAGGGCCATGATCTCTGGTCAATACTATGCAACTATTCCCCTCAAATTTAGGAGACAGTTAACATTTCTATCAAGGAAATACAAGGTGGTGTAAATGAATGGTTATAACACAGATCCAATGCAAATGTATCATTGAAGTGACATTGAACATTTAAACATTATAATATCAAATACATGCATCTGTCAATCTGGTTGACAGGCAACTGAATAACAGGAAGCGTTGGATCAGTTTGTAGTAATGAATGAGAATCATTCCTTTTTCTTTTTATTGATTAAAATACCAATCTGGCTAGCAGTAGAAAAGCACAATTTGACTAGATTTGAAGGCGGAGAAGAGATTATGATCTCCGTCTTGTGTGCTATGAATGAGGAGTGTGCCGTTGCCATCAAGGCCATGACCAAATAAACATATTCCCAGGCTCGAGCAAAGTGCTCAGGTCAAGATAAACAGATCTTAAATTTGGTTCTGATTGTCACCAAAGCATATGGCCTTTTCAAAACCTCATTATTTTTTTTCCAATTGTTTTCATGTGTTTGCTCGAAGCGGAAATGGGCTATGCAGGTTAACTGACTATTTTCCAAATCACTGCAGTCAAATTCAGCTTGAATGCTTTAGGTGTTGATGTCCTTGCAGGTGTTTATTTTGAATGTCCAGCTGAACTGACAGCATTAGTTTTGTTGCATCAAATCTGCTCCAGATGCAAAGTTTAAATCAAGTGTTGATGAAAAATATTGCTTACATACACCTAGGATAAAAGGACAGTTGACTGGGCAGTGTGATTTTTAAAGTACCCCTTAGTATATCTTAGAACAAAATGAGACCTAGAACTCTAAAACGAAAAAATAAAGTTTTAAGCCTTATGCATGTTATGTCTGGAGTTCACAGCTTGGACTGAGTAACTTAAGTGATTTGGAAATGCCAGTTTGTTTGCAACTTCCCTGTCCCATCATTATAAAACAAATTTAAAAGTCCTGATGGCCATGTGCAAACAAAATTGTATTACCTCTGTACTCTCCTAAGCCAACATGTTGTCTTGCATATTGTAACCTTATAAACTGGTGTCAAAGCCTGCCTAAAGTTTAGACAGGCACTCTGTGTGTTGTATGATTTACATAGTGGGCATAGATGGCACAAATGAGGGTTAGAGTTGTTAACGCTACAGATTTTCACTTGAGGCCTTTGTCATCAGACTGAAAAAAAAATAAAAATAGAAAAATGCAGTTCAGTTGCTTTTTTCCTTGTATTTATCTTGAAATATTAAACTGAGTAAAGACCTACCTGGGAATCGGTTTGCAGTGCTTCCAGTGTAAATTGTTATTTTGTGGATTCTACCTTTTGTGACAATGTGGACAATGATCATGCAATCGTCGAGTACTTTTATCAAAGCTGTCAAATCCCTCCTATGTACTTAATTGTGTTAATACATCCAAGGTACCTTTTTAAAGCTGGTAAGGTAACAGTTCTGGATTTAATCTCCAATTACCTCGCCCACCAACCTTGGCGGAACCCTCTTCCCTCACATGCATTCTGGGAAGGAAGATCTTCATAGTTTGTGCAGCACAACATTTCTGTGTAAAATTGACGTATCACATCTCCTCTCCTGTGCCTACTTACTTTAAGCACCTGCCCTACAACTGAACATCCTTCTGATGTCTTTAAAGCTAGATGTGGCTTAAATTTGATAATTTGCTTACACTTCTTACCGCTACGTAGAAATTCATAGTTTGTGCAGCACAACATTTCTAGTGTCCGGTTATGAGGATAAGCTCATAATTATGTATAAGAAGCTAATACAAAAAGTTGAATGGCGATATGAAAAGCATTTATTCCATTTTTCTTGTTTAATGTAATGAGAATAAGGAGATGTGCCTCCACTTTAGTAGATGTAAAATAAACTTGCTTCATTCCCAGAATTTATGGCCCCCATTTACTATAACCTGCTATGTATTATACACTTTTTAACCATTGTGTTTAACAGGATATCTGCTATAACTAGCTGCTGGTTTATTTTAATGAATTTGTTTCCAACTCAAGTTGTAACCTAGGTGTGCAATGTGATCACTATTCAGTCATCAACCTATTGCTGGAACTTTTGACAATCTCACTAATTTAAATACCTGGTTTTGTTTGAATTATCTGGACCCAGTAGAACTTCAGCTGTTCCATTGTGAGCTGTATTGAGTGCTATTTTACCAGATGCTACAAAGGCTTGTCATTCTTGGCAATATATAGTGTACTTGCTGGTTTCTTAACTTCAAATATAGGCTAGCATAGCCAAGCTTTTTGACCAGCTTAGTTGATATTTCTCTAAATTTGGCTAGGCTCGATGCTTTAACCTTCTGATTTCCGTTTCCTGTAATATGCTTTTAGTGTAAACCCTCTATATCTTTAGTGTCTGGTTATAGAGCCTTGATGCAAGATGCAGTCCTCTGGCAATATGGGGCACAGTGTCTAGTTATACGTACATGTGTCTTGGCCTGGTGAGCTATGTACAATACAATTCTTCCCATGTTTGGATGGTAATCAGTGGCTGAAAGTCGTTGTGTTTGTCTGCTAAAATAATGTGTCTGCAACGCAGTCTATTTGACACTGAAAATTTATACTTCCAGTACATTACTTGCTCTCTTACATGTTCCTTTAGTAAGCACACAGATACTTGTAATTTACTGTTTTAAATGGTGCCCCATTGGTTTTTAACCATTGGGACTTCCTAAAATAGTACAATGCCCTAAGCAATTGCCTGGCTTAGTTGAAGGTGTTTTCTAGAACATGTTATATGTTGTATTACAGTTGGCAAGTGGTTCACTGAGTTACTATAACCAAAGGGTGGATTTCCATGCAAATACCATGTCTCTAAAAGTTATTCAGGGTTTTCTCCAAAAATATCTAAAAAGTATGGCTCAGGCCTGTTAGGTGTGTATATTTTGCCACTTCAGGTTATATGTAAAATGGGCTTGTATATTTTGTATTTCACTTAATTCAAACCTAATAATGTAAAATGTAATGTATATTGCCATCCCATTACTGTGGATTGCACAAGTAGTTAAACACTAATAAAGGATACACTCTGTCCAACAAAAATAGAAAAGCACAATTTGACATTCAAAGTAACAGGGATAATCAATTAACACCACATTTTGAAATTCTTATATTTCCGAAAGCCAAATATGGTCAGGCCAAGCTAATTTGCAACAATCGTATGAATTTATTCGGTGTCACATCCGAGTCTTGTACAAAGTATAGGCTTCACCAATATTAACAAAATTCAGATATGAATGCATCCAGCAGGATGCACATTCGCAAATTATGTATCGCTTCCTTTTTTGCAGACAAGATTCCCAACATACTGGACCACCAGAACTCAGCATTACCTACTCCCTGCAAAGTAACAACAGGGAGAGGGTAAGGCATTTTTTTTTTGAATAATTATGAATTTAATAAAGCATTAATAAATAATTATTAATTATTTTTTATAAATATATTAGATATATTCATTCTCTCCTCCCTTTGTTTCCTTGCAGGGAGTCGGAATGCTGATCTCTGTTTTGTCCAGTATGTTGGGAATCTGGTCTACACCTCCATGTGTGATATTTATTATGGGTGTATTGACTATGTGTGGCATTTGTGTGCTCTATGTGGTATTTGTGATGGGCATTTCATTCAGAATTTAAAAAATGCATATAGGTGTGAATTCCGGTGTGTATTTTAGCAGTGTCACATGCACACAGTCCCACAGAATACAAACACTACAACCCTAAACACCCATTATATCTCAATAAGTGGGTGTAAGGAAGGGCAAGTGAAAAATCTGTAAGATTTTTTCGCACAGGTCACCTAAAGGCCTAAGTCAAATCTAAAAATATTCTAATCCAAAATATGGGAGTAATAAATCTATTTGCCAGTCAGCTATTACCTTGTCCAATGGATAAAAAAGTGAATCTCTATGTAAGTCACTGCTGAAGAATGCTGCCAGTCTGACTGTACTTGAATGCCTTTTACGGCAGGGCAACAAGTGGTAAAGTAGCACAAATGTTTATTTAGCTAACAGTCCATGCAATTCCAATAGACATATGAAATATTTCCAGTGTAACAATCTGGTAGGCTTGTGATAAATTAGAAAGATAGATACCATGTCATTATGTAGACAACTTCCTATCACTCTCCAGTAAATTAAGGTGCACTGCATTTGAAGTGCACTTTATTGTTAAACTAAGAAAAGTCCAAAATAAAATTGTTACAGTAGCATTTTTAGATACCTCAACAAAACCAGACGATTTTCGTTAAAGCAGCGTAACACGAATTACAGTAGTTAACAAAAATTTTAAAATGAGATATTTTTGGTAATGTATGAACATTTTCACCATGTTATGGATGTAGTGGTAGGTTGTCTTCTTTCCAACCACATCTGTCATGCCAGATGAACTGGCTGCCTGGTAGAGGTGGTATTGTCAGTTCCAAAAGAGGTAATGTAAATTGTATAGGAATGTGAAATGGGGCAGATGGTTTACAACATGGATTGATCATTTGATTAATCAATGGCTCTGCAAGGTGTGAAAATCTACACTTGAGATGCCTGGATGTCTAGTTCCAATGTAAACTAACTGACTTCAACCATATAGCCTGTACCTCTCAATTGATTAGTTAATTTCTTTGATATGTTAATGATTATTAGCCTTCAGAAAAACATGTTAGTTCCAGTATCCTATCCAAAAAAAAAGATTAAAACTTACCCACAGAATAAAAATTAAGTCTAATTTTTATTATATTAAGAATGGGACAAGCACAGTATTCTAATCAAGCCTAAACATGAGTTACGTAACTTACACTATTGGGCAGTATTGTGATGTCCGATATATAAGTAAGAAGTGTGACATATCTATGAAATGAAAATATGGTAACAAATTCATAGATGCAATTATTATTTCTGTGGCAAGTACAAAAGAGATTATAGAAGAAAAAGTTTCTATTTGGATTGATGTTGGTCTGGAACACAAGGGGGTGGTCACTTATTGTCTCCATAGGTATGCCTTATTTCCACATTTTGGGTGAGGCTTGGTAGTCCACAGGGTATATATCTAATGATACTGAAGTGTGTATTGTACTTGCTGGGGCCAAAATCTAATTTTGAATGAGTCACAATTTTCCTTGCCAGAGATCCCCTAGGTAGAAGTTTTACTTTTAAAACCTGAGTAAGTGATTAGGACTTTCTGTTATATTATCCCTTTTGTTTTTATCTGTTCTTGGTGTAACTATTTTGATTGCCATCTATATTTTTGTATGCACTGTGACTATTTTTTGCTCATAATAAATATTCCTTTATTAAGTTCTGTCTTTGTCTGGTAAAGAATCACGTTACCTGAAGATACTAATTAGTGTTCTGCAATTGCTTAGATATTGAGCTAAGTTGTATTTGGTGGGTTTTTATTTTTCAGTTAACTGGGGGACAAAGGCACCCCATTTATAAATTGTCTTGGTGGTGGTAGTGTTAAAATAGTAATATTTATATTATTATGGTTAAGTGTGGGCGGTCTTAAGTGGGATTTTATCATTATTTTGGTCTAGTGCAGACAAATAGTGAACCTTTACCCTTTCACCACCACAACTACTTCACGCACACTCTAGTAGGGTGCGTTCGTGACATTTGCTTGTTGAAGAGCAACATTTCTCAAAGTTCACATATTTTGTTTAAATATTTGGGATGATGAATACTGTTGCCAATTGCTGCCAAAGACTATTGGGTGTTTTAGTGGAGGACTAATTTGTTTTGATTGTTCTTCAATCATAGTAATTCTAACAACTTAATTGGTTGTTGATTCTCCACAATTCACTATTTAGATATTTAGAGAATAAACAACCCGAAGTAAGTGTCTTTCAGGACATCCCTAATGCAAACAGATATACCTAGAGCATATAATCCCAGTGCACAATTTCCTGTAGCATATTCTGGTTTTATATTTTGCTAAACATGCTTTGCATTCTCAATACAATGTTATTACTCACATTCTAATTGGACGCCATTGTTTCCTGCAGCCCATATGCCACATATAGCCCATATGCTGTAAGCTTAAAACAATAATTAAAAAGATACTTAAGGACATAAGGACAATGGAAGAATTAGTAAGCCATGTGAAACACCTGGTATTTTTCACACCATTCTGCATTCCATTTATGTGACATTTGCTTCTCTGTGCAGAATAGCATTATTTTGTTATTGTATATATTTGCATTTTCATTTTTCAATTATCTAGATATTAAAGTATAATCTAAGGAATATTTTGACCTCTTAAATATTTAAAACTCCTCATATTTTAATATTTTAACACCAGAAACAATTATTTATAACAATTTTAATGTACAAAAATATACATTAAGTCAAATTTTTATTAAGAGCATTGATACAAATGTTAACGTGCTTGCAGAGTATAATTGTAGGAAATGCATGGATTATGTGTTACATCCATTCTGAACAAATGTATGCTGTGATATGTAGTATCTTGAGACATACTCTGCAGAACAGAAGGGCTGAATGGAAAACTGGGAGTTCCTCTTTATAAGTTTGGAATGGTGTCTAGTTTTCTGTAGAAATCTTTGGAAACCACTTTTTGTTTTTGTGTAAGTTGTGCCAATAGGGTTGCCTTGGCTTTTTACTGAGAACCCCTCCTCCAAAAAACAAAACAAAAATGTTTTGCACTAAATAACTGTAGACCATCTGTACTTTCTCTGAAAACTCGTGATTATTTTCTCATTGTTATTTGGTGTTCTTCATTTTGCAATGCATGTAAGTGCCTGCATATCTAATTACAGCATATGCATTTAAAATGACTACTCTAACTACATAATAAAATAATTTACAGAGATTATTGTTCAAAATGTTTACCTGTTCCTGCCTCCCTCCATGGACAGGTAACTCATGTTCTCACTGGCATCTCTCTGTGGATCTAACACACTATTCTGTGTTTTTTGTTTTTTTTCTTATTATTACTGGGGTCCCCCAAGCCTTTACTCTTTGGTATCTTTATCGATCTAAAGAAAAAAGTTACCTGTGCTCTTTCCACATCCCTATGTATTTTTAAACAAATGGGATGGGCAGCAGCATTGCAACCTAGCTGTGTGATACAAAAGTGAATGCAAATACAAAGAAACTAGTCCTGCGCTCAAACTCCCATTACTCCTGGGCGGCAGCAATGACTATAGTACACATCAGCCAAAATACATATAGTAAAAACCAAAGAAAAAAGTTACCTGCGCTCTTTCCACATCCCTATGTATTTTTAAACAAATGGAAGTTTTTAGTTACCTCCAATGGCCATGAGAGGGTAAGCCCACCTGCCACGTCAAGGCAGACCTCTTAGGTGGGTCCTAACTCTAACCATTCGTCTTGCTTCCTTGAGCTTCTGGCAAAAATATCTCGAATGAGACAGAAAGGAGTATTTTTTTATACATCCCTAAATGCTTATTAACCCTTAATAGGGAACACATGGGCAGCAGCATTGCAACCTAGCTGTGTGATACAAAAGTGAATACAAATACAAAGAAACTAGTCCTGCGCTCAAACTCCTATTACTCCTGGGCGGCAGCAATGACTATAGTACACATCTTTATCTATCTGTCTAGGAAGCTGACAATGCCAGCTTCCTAGTGGCAGATTTGCTATAGCTGGTTATCCGAGAGAGTGTTCCTGGTAATTGTATTTCTGGTATTTGACTTTGGCTTTCTTTGACTTCCCTAATTTCTGGTATCCTTGACTTTTGGCTTTCCCTCATCGTTGTGTCACGTTCTGTTTCCCTCGGCAAATATTCTGACTGCTGTTGGATACGCTAAATCCAGCCATTCTAAGGTCCGGTTATACCTTATCCTCAGTCCTAGGTGTGATATTATTCTGCGTGCTGGATCACTTAGTAATCCGGACAAATCTAGACTAGACTCTTCCACTTCCATGAGCATTTTTACTCAATGAAACCATGGACTTATCAGGAGAGTACTTCTTGGGTTTAGACAAGTGGATTAGTGGAGGAATCTGACCCTGACAGTAGAGATTATACTATTTAGTCATCCTTTCATAA